TTTTCTTATATCTCAGAAAATCATACATTCGAAGCTTTTTGTGAAATCATTTCATTCATTTTTGAAAACCAGATGAAAATCCGTTCAATAGTTTATCGTTAAAGAGATACTCCAATTCATATTCAGTAGTGATTATAATACACTCAACAGCAGCTGTACTTCCGTGCAAAATTATGGTAATTTAAGAGAATAACAAATTGAGTATATTCAACTCGATGTTTTTTCCTGTACCATACAATTTTCCATGCCACCACTAGCAAGAAATCAAAACCTTTTCATATACCACGCCAACTCATCACGTACATCACATCCCATCGGGCAATCAAAGCCGGAACAGAGCGATTCATCATGTTTCCCGGGCTCTCCACCTTCATTATTAATTTCGCTTGCATCTCTCCAAGTTCATTATTCCTGATTACGCTCTATGTAATAACTGAATTTCACGCCCCCTTCATCACTTGTATCCGAAAGAGTAACGCATTGCCCAGATGTTGAATTGAGATGTAATTATGATTGTTTTCAACCGAACTGAGGGCGGTGAAAATGGGTAAAAACGTCAACCGTTATTTTGTTCAATTATTCACTTCCAAGATATCTGATGAATATCTGTACTGACTTCCACTGAATTTGTAATAACCAATGATTGTAACCATTTTAGGAACAAGGTAATTCTTTGAACGTGTGATAGAAATCAGTCGGCTTTTTGTACCAGATTCACTTGAAATCTGCATTCGGTTCCATTACTCAAAAAATTTAACAGATTCAAGAACAACCTATTGTGAGATTTTCACTTAACTGTTCACAAAATCACAACACATGTTCCGTTATACAATAGCCTCCTGAGGCGTTATACAATAGCTTACTCAGGCGTTATAAAATAGCTTCATCAGACGTTATGAAATAGCTTCACCAGACGTTATATACTAGCATTTTCTGACGTGTATGAACACAATGTTCAAGTTTTGTGAGATTTCCATTTAACTGTTTCAACACCATTTCATTATACGATAGCTTCGTCAGGAATAACACGAAACTTTCCTAGGCGTTTTACAACGAGCGTTATATGATAGTTTCCTCAGGCGTTGTATAATAGCTTCCTCAGGCGATATATGATAGCTTTCTCGGACGTTACGTACTAGCTTTCTCAGGCGTTTATGAATACAGTGTTCAAGTATTGTAACATGTATATTGAACTATTTTCAACACCGCAACACGTATTTCGCTATACAATAGCTTCATCATGAGTTATAAAATAGCTTCCTCAGACGTTATGAAATAGCTTCCTCGGGCGTTAAAGAATAGCTACCCGTTGAACACAGTGTTCAAGTATTGTGAGATTTCCATTGCACTGTTCACAACACGACAACACGTATTTCACTATACAATATCTTTATCAGGAGCTATACAATAGGTTCATCAGGCGTTAAAGAATAGCTTCCTCAGGCGTTATAGAATAGCTTCCTCAGACGTTATATACTAGCTTCCTCAGGCGTGTATGAACACAGTGTTCAAGTTTTGTGAGATTTCCATTAAACTGTTTACACACCGCAACACGTATGTCGCTATACTAAAGCTTACTCAGGAGTTGAGCGAAAGCTTTCCTAGGCTTTATAGAATAGGCATTATATGATAGCTTCCTTCCACAGTATTCAAGCAACACTTCATTGTGAGAACCATTTCAAAAACCGCAACACGTGTTTTGTTATACAATAGCTTCCCCAGGCGTCTTATAATAGCTATTCCAGGCGTATATGAACACAATGTTTGAGTTTGTGATATTTTCATTAAACTGTTCACAAAATCTACGATAGCTCCCCCAAGCGTTGTACAATAGGCGTTATATTATAGCTTCCTCAGGCGTTCATGAGCACGATTTTCAAGTAACACTCCATGGTCAGATTTTCCCTTGACAGTTCACAAAACCGCGACACGTGTTTCGCTATACAATATCATCTTTAGGCATTATAATACTGAACCATCTTCGCTCTATCGAAGACGAATGTCCTTTGACATTTTTCCATAACCTACAAATCATTATCATTATTTTCAGCATTAATTTCCCCACGGATGATTTCCAATCCATCTAATCTCGAACTATGGAAAATTTATGATCTGCAACCACTAGTGCAACCCCGTGGGAAAGAGACACGACATTTTTAACGATATTAAACGTACATGTTTTGTGGAGTCACGTTTTGAATAGAGTTTCATGACGGTATAACGCCGGACTCCAAGTTTCACTGGAAATTTATTAGATATGCTCTAAACTCCACTCCTTTCGGAAGTTTCAAGGAAAAACCCCCGGGTCATATATATCCAGCGATGCTGTTAGTAGGAAAAGTTCGCTTTAGAGAATGGAATGATACTTCTTGGTTGGTTTTTATGCGGACGACTGTGAAAATATGGTAGGGGATAAAAACTTGTATCATTACGATTTTCCTCTATATAATTTTTTATTGTTCACTCCATTATAATTGGTTGTTCGTATAAATAAACAAGATTTCATCAGTAGTGAACAGTAGCTTAACAATCAAAAAAAGGGAGCACTGAATACGGCGCTTCTCTCGTGCAATTTCTTCTTCATTCGCAATGATTTGCAGGCTGATTTTGCATTATGTCTTCGTTATGAGAGATTCAATCTCCTGTCTTGCAGCCTTGTGAGAAAAACTGATGAATATTGCTGATTTTGCTTCTATTATGTAATAACATTTATTCATACGCTCACAATCATGAATATCATAACCTCAAATGTATTTGCGCGTTTCCACTGTGCGAATGTCGTGGACTTGTTCAACCTTCATCCTTTTTCTTGATTTCCCAAATGTTTCAATAGTATTCTGCTACTCTGGGCGGAGACAAACTCGATAAATAAAAAATCATGGAAATCGGTACAGATGTAAGATAAGATGGAATGGGATAAGATTTTCTTTGACATGGTTATGTAGGTATGTAAAACAAGAATATGAAAAGAACATATCCCAATGAGGATCTGGAGATGATTGGGGTTCATATAATCAAACTTCAATCAGAAATGAATGGCAAAGTCTGTGGCATTAACTATGTTATTTAAAACTTTTGTGTTACACGTAGCCAACAAACCCCAGACTTCACATACACAAAATTCATTCCAAGGTCTCCGTTTTGCTTCGTTTGTTGTATCAGTGAATAGTCTACTGAACTTCAAGGCGACTATTCTCCCCAGTGATTCATTAACATTCGTATTCGTGGGTTTCGCAGCAATGAATACTTCAATTAGGATGATGAATGGTAGCGCTCGAGTATGTAGCCCAGCAATTAACGCCTGAGTTTTTTATGTATTGAATCTGACGACTCTAGAAAACATTTTATTGATTGTTAGAGGTTTGAACGTCTATTGTCCATATCTGTAACTCTATTGTGAATTTTTACGGTTCTCTAGATGGAAAAGACAATTGCAGGACCGAACCATACGTATAAATTGGTGAAAAAGTTGAGTTTCACATTGAATAATCGAATATAAAAGAATTATTTGGGGTGTGCCTAGAAAACATAATGAAACTGCTAGAAAAGTACCTTTTCGTGGGAATCCAAATACCTGTACAAGGTATGAATACGCCTGAGGAAGCTATTGTATTGCGAGTATCTCCCAATTGCATCTCGTACATGTTAGGTTTATGAGAAAAACAAGTTTTGACTCATCTGCCAATGCAGAAATTCCGACCCTTCTAGCGGGTGGCTAGATTTTTATAAGGACAAGGGACCCTCACCGAAAACGGTTCTTGATTTGAGCTGAACCCGTCGATATTATAGTGTATTACATTTTGAATAAACAGACTGATATACGCGTTTTCTGGTGTAACCTTGTTACATATATTTCAAAAAGTTGTTGATCATTCTTTGAATTGTAATTGGATTGGAGTTCGTTTGACTAGCAATTCATTTTTAGAAAGTTATGTAGTATGCTTTTCAATATGTTTTCTAAAACATATAGGTATCCGAATTATTCCAATTGTGTTATGTAAGTCGTACATTAATGACAAATCAGTTGAAATTTCTGTTCAGTATATCTAGCGAATCTTGCCAGCTACCACGTAGACCTTATAAATTGGATAGAGATAACTTGAAGCAATGGAACAAAGCGAGAAATAAAAATCCTACTTACAAATAAAATATACGATTCCCGAAGGAGTAAACGTTGCGGTAGGAAGCTAGGAATCGATGAGACAAATATATGTGGAAGATGGGTAACAAAAAAAATAGCCGATTAGAAGTATTTCGGTTGTAGAACGTGTAATGGATTTTGCTTTGTTTCATACTGGATATAATTCTGAAATGTGAATACATCACAACAAGTACTTCAAAGGTTCACTATCTCGGGTTCACTTGCTATTTCATAATTTCCATAATCGCCATACTTATCCAAGATTTCGATTATAAATGAATCCAATTTTATAAATCATAATAATAACAGAAACAAATCATCAGTAGATGGAATATAGATATTGAATGAAATATTCCTTCAGTATTAGAATGAATCACTTTCGCATATACGTTGATATCATTCGAATTACAATGGTATATTTTCTCTTGTATCAAATCTGATTATCAATCTTCAATCTGAAATTTGTATCAACGAAATATAAAATTGAATATTTGGCAATAAAATATCTGGTACCGGATCATGATCATTTGACGGACATGTTTGAAGGTCGGCACTGTGGAATTGTAACTTCTCTCAAGGATATTCTCACGTGAGGAAATTATTTCGAATCCAGTTATTGGTTTTTCTCAGGTAACGTTATAAAATAGAGGGATGCAATATAGAGGCCAATATGACGAATGAGAAAATTCAAAACTCCGACGAGTCGTCAATAATAAGTTCACAGATCGAATCATCTCGAATGTATAATCTCTTGCCTCATTCCACTGTCGAAATAATCCATTCCAACTCTCTCTGAGTGGAATCACACGTATTAGTCTCATCGCTTCCCCTGTCACAACCGTCAACAACAAAAACTCACCCTTCTCGCAGTGTTCTCCCTCATAATCTGGATTCCGACACTCGCAGATTGGTCCGCTATCAGTCGAAATGCAGATTCCTCCATGTTGGCAGGGATCCCTAATTTCGCACGCATCGCTGCTGTTGCCACGTAGTATCTGCAAAGAACAGAAACGTTATGAGATCTCTAAATCAGGACGGAGAAACATATGCTCTGCAGGCTTAGGAGGAAATGCGTATCTAATGAAATGTATTGGTTTGTTTATGTGTGGAGTGTATTTCGTAATGTGCGACTCTTTTTCTCTGATGTCAAATTGACATTGTGTGTAGGACTATTGTCGATATATTTTCACTCCATAGCGAGTGATAAACATTCTATTTTCAGTGATCAGCCAAAGTCTTCAACCAGCTTCATTTCGACAACTAATGCATAAGTTTCTCAGAACAATCGCTTTTTGCAGAACATCTGAAGTATGTATATCAGATCTATATCAACCACCCTGATACAAATAAGTTATAAAGGACATTGAGATGATTATCGAAGTGAAAACATTGTTTTTTTTTTGTTGAGCCCTCAGGAAGTCTAACCCTTATACTACTGATAAGTCCTCACTATAGATTCACTACTTGTATTATTGATATTGGAACGATGTTCAATATCCTACTACTGCTTCGTATAAAGCATCACCAACTTCGGTGACTTGGGAAAATGCAGACGAATTAAACGAGTATAAATATATATTTTCATATGTTTCACAAGATGTGGTGGAGTTTTGAATCAATCGACAGACAAACCAAACAGATGCACCAACTGGTCTGCTTTCCTGTTCTTTCCATGTTGATACCACAGTCTACTCTTACACGCTGTCTTGCTCTTCTTCTGAAACCTTGTTCATCATGTCTTCAGGGACAATTATTCTCTTCTTATTGATAAACATCAGCGTCGAGTATGAGTAGTTATCTGATGGTGGTGCTTGATACATCCATCGAGTTCTCTCAACCCTTAGCTGTAGGGGTGACTTGGTACGTGGAGCGTTGCCAAAAAGGCTTGAATGAACCCCCAAGAACAATGAAATGACGTAAGTTCATGTGCACCCCTTTTGGTTCTTGAAGATCGTCAATGACCAGAAGAGTGTGATCAATCGACGACGGAGAAAAAAGTACCAAAAGGGACTTAATGAACGACCGCGGGGGTGAGAGAAGACAATAGAATAACGTAACTTCTTGAGCAACACTGTGGGTGCAGATTGTCATCAATGACCAGAAGGGATTACCGAAGAAGGATGAGAAGTGTCAAAACGGTCTTAATAGGTAACCCTTAACATATGTGGGGTTTTGTCTAAAGGGCACGAATGGTCCCATTAACAAAATGAACTGTTTTTCGATGTTTCAATTTGAATGATTATTATATGTATGAACAGGAAAATAAAATACACAATTCATCAACATTTTTTAATAATTGAGGAATACCAACAACGTTGTCAGAAATTCCATATTTTTTAGGAATTTGTGTACAAATTGGACGATATTGCATATGATGAACATCTTTCTCTTGATTGACAGTTTGATGAACATGTTTTTGAACGTTTCCTTCGTAATAAAGCAGTGATAAATATCAACATTGGAATTGCTAGTGCCTTCTTCAGAAAAGCAACGCCACTGCTTTCCTGTCTGTTCCGTGTTAATCTCATAGTATACGCTGTCATGACCCTCTTTTATAACCTAGTTCATCCCGTCTTCAGTGCCCATAAAATTACAAACAAATACTCTGAAAAAGACAACAGGAACGTGTAGAAACTACCGAAGGAAAAACCTGCAACAGCTAACAATTCAAATAGAATTAGAAGTTTGCAGCAATGAATTTGGGAGTTCGGGTTCTGGTGTTGGTGTTTAAAATTAGTGCAGATCTTGGCACTTTGTTTCACCGGCGTTTGGTGGAACGGCGCGTGAAAAGATATTTCAAAGACACTCGTATAACGAGAAAGTTCCCAGTTAATGCCAAAGTTGTTAATTGAATCACAAATGCAGTGGATTTCTAATTGAATTCGGGATGCAGAGCTGGGAGTGGGTGGAGCGGATAATGCTTGGGCGTAGTTGCTCCAGGAAATGACAATGAGGGCCGTGATAATTACTGTAGTCTGGATCTTTTTGCGTCCTGGAATATTCACGAGAGGATTTGTAGTTGTGTGAAAGTTTTATTGGTAATTTACTAATTCAATAGATCAATTTCCATTTCATGATTCTCTACATAGACATATGGATGGAATAAAAAGAGAAAAAGGAAATAAATTTCATCACTACATCATGTATTTTTACTTTTTGTTCCTAAATTTCTGTTATGTATTAAAAAAGAAAACTCAAGCACATTTACCAATTGATTTGATCAAACTGATATATTGCTAAAGGACTACACTACAAAATACCTGAACCACCAAGCAACAACAAGCTTCATGACAAGCTTGTTTTATTTGCGACGATATTCCATATATCGAAAATCTGAATTCAAACCTACCTGCATATTTATTGGATATTCGTGTGTTCTAAAAGCAATTTGCATGTCATTTCATCGGAACGGGGTGCATCGAACTATTCATGCTTTACTGGGGAGATAGACTGAAAGAAGCCACATTTGCAGCAGCAAAATCTAGGAGAACAATATTTTTTCAGAGGCTGAAGTAAAAGGCTCAAATAAGATCTAATGACTTTTGCATTTTGAAAATTCAAAATTAAATTCAAAGATACATTGAACTACAATATTGAATATCATACTATGTAGCATTTCCACTGTGAAAATGATTTTTGATTATTAAGGAACATAATCTTGTAGTCAATGACACTGATGTTACTGAAGATTTGAAAACTTCAGCCAGATTTGTAGGTTATGTCACATATGTTCATTCATTGAAAATATCACCTGGAAAATACTTGAAAATTTTGTTGAACTTCCGATTGATATAGCATGTACTTTGAGAACAAAGATTTGGTCGTAACCTACAGAACAAATGATATTTTGAACAAAATCAATGATAATATTAATGAAAAAACTTCACTGCTAGGTATATCGGAGTCACATGAGTTTTATTGACATTGGCCAAACTCTGAGAATGAAATAACATGAATTTTGTTTATTCGGAAGACAATTGGACAACCTTTTCGAATCATCGTTGGACAGAAGGAAAATTTGAAATAATGCTCGATCGTAAATACAACGTATAGCATTCAGAAGAGGAAGGTTCAAATCGGAATTTTTTGAGGGTTCCAAAAATAAATTCAGTCAAACCAATAAGCAAATTGAATGGAAAAATGATCCCCTCCCTTGAGGCATTTTAGGCGATAAGCTCACTTTTTTCTGGTTTTTGTGTGATGTTAGCATAACATCATACAAAAACTTACTCTTTACAAAATATATGAATTCAGGCACGAACACAATTAATACTTACCCAGAAACAATATGAATAGCAGGTGTATCTGTAAATAAATTTCGGAAAGATACAACTGACAATAGAAAAATGAAACAGTTTAATATAATGTAAAATCTAAATTCTAAATATAAATCAACTAGTATGAACAGCAAATTACGCTAGATAATGTTCTATGCTAAACTGAACTACGTAATGTGAATTTTGGAACGCACTATCAGTTTATGAAATGTCACTTAATCTATCCTGGAAACTTTGTCGTTTCATGTTCGATGGAAATTGATCAATTCAATTTTTGTTCAGTTGTCCAGTGTCTCCTCTTGGACACTTTATTTATATATGCATATACTTTTTTATATTCGATATGGAAAGAGGTAAATACATGGTTTTCCTTCTGTGTATTTTGTTCAGTGAAAATCACTTCTTCACTGGATTCTTCTCTCGTCTGCTGGGGATTCTTTAAGTGATGAATTTCTTGATGAGTTCTTTGGTTGGAATTTGTTTATATAGGTTAGTATTATTTATACCTTCTTACAAGTATTTTTTTCATATAATCATTCAATATCTACTGACTTCTAATAATTTCAATTGAAAAGATTTGGCGTGGCGTCTCTTTTCGTCGCCTTGAAAAGAATGTTTTGTTGATAAAAAGTTGAAAATTTGTAACTTTGATATCTTAAAAACCATTTCCTCTACAAGTTTGCTACTTATTTCTAATTTAAAATACATCTTCCCTCAATATTTATGTAAATACATATTTAACCTCATCTTTCGTTAGTATCATTTCATATCCGTTACTAGAGAAACGGTTTACAACAATAATTTTCAAACTTTTAATCATTTCTAAATATTTACAACAATTTTATGATGTCTCTTCCAATTTCATTCAACAGATCTCATATTATTTCCATTTGACATTTATTCACATCCTCTGTCGGTTATCTTTTTTATGAAATTTATAAATTTTTACATACAAATTTTGAATTTCCCGCTCTTCCATTTTTGTTTCATATTCCACTGTTCCACTCTCAGTTCGCACTGCAAACTTAGAGTGAAACAGTAGACATTATCAAAAGCGATGAGGTAATGGTCGAAGAGCTCTAGTAGTTCTTAACGCAGAAACCACAATGCTGGGATTTGAATTCGGTTTAATTTTCTCAAAGGTGAGCGAACAATAACTCAGCACCTTTGATAATGTCTGCCGCAGTACTGGACATGCACAAAATCTGTAAATTTCGACCAGAAAAACTGAAAATGGCTTTGACAACTTTATCTCTGGCTGGCAAGTTCACATTATTTGATTCTTCAGAAAGTTCCTCAGACGTCACGTCTGAAAACTCACACGAACTTACTATGCCGTTCCAGTAATAGAAAAAGTGTTAAAATATAATATTCCGAGCCGTCACTTACGATGTAGTTACACGTTCCACTAATTGGAGTGATAGGTACATTTCGGCAAGTTTTCCAACGAGTTTTGTTCCATTAATTAAGAAAGGCGAGACAATATATTCCGAAAGAATATCGCATTATTGCCAAGGTAATGGAAGAAGTACGCTGAGTATGCTAATTTGAGAGTAATTTGAATAAAGCTCTCAAAATCGGTTATGAACTATAACGAGGACATCATTTCAGGTTGAATTACGCTTGCAATAACCATTCCAGCGAGATTTATTGCGTGAATTCAAGAAGCAAGATCTTAATTGGAGTGTACTCTTCCAGAAAAAAATTTGTGGAAACAC